GTGAGCTTGAACTGCCAACCTTGCAGTTCAAAGGACTTTGCCGTCTGACGCATTAACCCACAGCACCACACCAGGACATTGTTACTTAAATTCAGTTTTATATTACACGTTATTTCAATAGTGTTCCTCAGGAAGGAGGATAAGGAAAAGATTTTTTTTTTTAACTTGAGAAGGCATCATCATTGAAATCATGGAAAGAGTCTTCTCAAGGTCTAGGACACTCCAAAACTACCCCAGGGACAATTGTTGTTTTTGTTAAATGCTGTAGAGCCATTTCCAACTCATAGCCCCCATGTATTGGGTTTCCAAGGAGCTGCTGGTGAATTTAATCCATCAACCTTGCAGTTCCAACCAACCTTGCAGACCATTGCTTTATCCAACAGTGCTGCACCAGGACTCCAAGTAACAAAGGGCAACAAGTTGTGGTGAATCAGTACTGAATTACCTAAAATACATGGAAGCAGCTAAAATCTAGGATAGTGAGCTATGGAGTATATTGTTGGGAGTTTCAAAGCAGTATGTTGTTACTGTTAAGGGCTATTGAGTTGGTTCTGGCTCATAGCACCTGTATACAGAGTTCCCAAGGAGCAGCTGGTATGTTTAAACCACTGACCTTGTGGTTAGCAGTCCAGTGCCTATCCTACATATACAGTTCTATGTATTTTGAATTTCATGAATGATAAAATGTTCATAGTGCCAAGCATGGCACAGTGTATTATAAATATGGAGATGACGCCATACTTGACCATACAGGCCATGGCTTCCTCAACTCTGTGTCTTATAAGATATATAGCATAGTGTCTTGTGAAAGGCAAATGTTTATTAACATTTGAACTAAATTCATTCACAAGTATTGAGTGCCTGTTACATGGGGGTTCCAGTGTAGTGCTGTATGATAAACAGTAGACTACTAACCACAAGGTTGGTGGTTCAGACTCACCAGTCGCTCATCAGAAACCCTATGGATCACTATGAGTCGCAACTGACTGGATGGCATTTTAACAATGTTATGTTTCGGCCAGCACTGCTGTAGACACGAAGGATGCATCAACAATTATTCATTAATTCACAATATATCAGACTTTATTTTATCCTCTGCTTTTCTTTCTCCTTCATCCTCTCCCATAATCAAGGGTTCTTAACCTGGAGTCTGTGATCCCCTAAAACTCCATGGATGTAATTCAGGAAATCATTAGCCTTTGATGGAGGGGAAAAAAACATCTTTAATAATCCATTCATCCTTTCCTATCCTTTCCTGCCTTCTGGGCTTTGTTGTTAAGAGCCATCAAGTTGGGTTCCAACGCATAGCCACCCTATATAAGGTTTTTAAGACTCTATCTTTGTGTAAGTAGAAAGTCTCGTTTTTCTCCTGAAGAGCAGCTGGTGGGCTCAAACCATTGACATGGTTTGCAGTCCAGTGCATATCCTACAGAGCCCCTGCACTCTCTTCTGAGCTTTTTCCTGGGCAAATACTTCCTTGCTGATCTTGTGTGGTTAATTGTTCTAGGGAATACATACCTCCCTGGTGTTTTGTTCACTTTATAAGTCTTTTGACGTGTTATTTGGCTAAATTTGATTCATGGGAGTAAGTTCTGTTCCAGGCTTGAAGGTTATCTTAAGGGCCATAGCCTCAGGGGTTCCACCAGTCTCCGTCAAACCAGTCAGCCTGGTCTTTATTATTTTGAGTTTCATTCCACATTTTTCTCTCCCTCTCTCCAGGACCCTCTATTGTGATCCCTTTCTGAACAATCACCAGTGGTAGCTGAGCCCCATCTAGGGAGGTAGAGACTCAGGGTGGTCTATTAGTTCTTTGGACTGATTGTTTCCATGCATCTTTAATTTTCTTCACTCCTCTTTGTTCTGGAGTCCTGGTGTGGCACTGTGGGTTGATGCACTGAACTGCAAGGTTGGTCTGAATTGCAGGGTCGTCGGTTCAAGCCCATCAGCTGCTCCTTGGAAGCCCTATACAGGGTTGAGTTGGTTGAGTCACTATGAGTTGGATTGACTTGAAGGCACTTAACAACAATAACTGCTTTGTTCCAGATGGAGATAATAGCAATAGTAGCACTTTAGATGACTGCTCATAAACTTTGAAGACCGCAGTCGCTATTCATAAAAGTAGAATGTCTTTGTGTGCTATGCTCTGCCAGTTGCCCTGGATATCCCCACAACTATGGTCTCTAGCCTCCAGGTCCAGTGACTCATTCACTCTCAGTGTTTGGTTATGGCTAAGAAGTTTAAACTCTAAACATGGATATGTTTACAGCACAGGCAAATATGTTTGAAGAAATATCATGTCAAACCTGTATATGGTGCTCAGTATAATCTCCTTCACCTCTTCACGCCTGTTATCTTGCTTGTCTTTATATGCGCCCATTTGTAGATTGTTGTTCAGTGTTGTTGAGTTGGTTCCTACTCATAGTGACCATGTGTAGGGTTTCTGAGGAACAGCTGGTGAGCTTGAACCACAGATCTTGTGGTTCAAACTGACCTTGCAGTCCAGTGTATTAACCTACAGCACCACACCAGGACTCCATTTATAGATTGCTGATAATGCAGGACTGCGTATGTAATAGGATTTACTTTTGTTGTCTATAACTCTTGTATACCTCTCCATGTCTTCCTTTCCTTTCATCATATTGGGCTGATGACTTCCTTATTGTATATTGCTTTTCTCTTCGCTCAAATTAATACATGTCTCCTATCTGCTTAAAGTGATTATCCCTTTCCACCCCACCCATTCTGGTAACCATCAAAGAATTTTTTTCTCATGTGTTGTAATGGTTAGGGTTCTGTGTCAACTTGACTGGGCCAATATTTCCAGAGGGTTAGCAGCTAGGATGTGCTTATTCCCATGGTGATGAAACCTAATTCAGTCATGGTTAACTCTTTGATGAGTGGCTTTGAGCAGCCAATCAATTAAAGGGATGCTTCCTTGGGGGCATGGGGGTACCAATATAATGGTGGTTTGGTTTGGTTTTGTTTTTCTCTCTCTCTCTCTCCCTCCCTCCCTTCCTCCCTCTACAATTGTAAGCCATTTCTTTATTAGTAAACTTCTCTTTATATATATGGAAATTTATGTTTCACTGGTTTTTCTTCTGTAGAAAACCTGACCTAAGGCACCATGTGTAAAGCCTTTCCTTGACTCTTATTAATAATAGTGAACTCATATAATATTTGTCTTTTTGTGATTGTCTTATTTCACTCAGCATAATATTCTCTATGTTTATCCACATTGTGAGGTGTTTCACATATTATTCTATATTCTTAATGTTGCATAGTATTCCACTGTGTGTATGCACCATAGTTATTCTATTCATCCATTGATGACTAAGATGCACCTGACCCAAGCCATGGTATTTTCAATCATCTCATGTACGTGTGAGAGCTAGACAATGAATAAAGAAGACCAGAGAAGAATTGATGCCTTTGAATTATGATATTGGCCAAAAATATTGAAAGTACCATGGACTGCCAGAGGAACAAACAAATCTGTTTTTGATAAAAGTACAACCAGAATGGCCCTTAGAATTGAGGCTGGCAAGACACTGTCTTTCATGCTTTGGATAAGTTCTCAGAAGGAACCAATCCCTGGAAAAGGACATGATGCTTGGTAAATTGGAGGGTCGGTGAAAAGAAGAAAACCCCCAACCAGATGGATTGACACAGTAGCTGCAACAGTGGGCTCAAACATAGCAATTGTGAGGACTGCGCAGGCTCGGGTGTGTTCTGTTGTGTTGTGCCTGGGAGGTCTATATAAGTAGGAGTAGATTCAGTGGCACCTAACAACTACAACAGTGATGTAATTTAGCAGTGATGTAATAAAGTAACCATCCTCCGTTTTATGATCCGATACTACAATTTTGCATAAAACCAAGTTTTGCATAATGTCTTAGTATTTGGATCCTACCCACGGCAGTGAGTGAGCATAAAAATACATCCAATATTTTTTCCATGTTTCCCTCCTGCCTTCATTTTTATGTGTTAGGGAACCAGTGTAAAACTTTAATTATAAATTATGAATCCAGCACCAAAGACTAGGATTCTTTAGAGCTGTCACTGAATCAAAAACTTCCATATTTTTGAGACATTCCAGGACTTTGTGAAAGACACCAAAGGCAGAGCAGATAAGAACACATATTCTGGAGCCAGACTATCTAGTCGAATGTTGGTTCTGCCTTTTATCGATGAATAACTGTGGACAAATTATTTAATAGGTGAAATAATAACGAAACACCTATCTCAAAAGGTTGTTATAAGGAAGAGATTTGTTAAAATATGTAATGTCTGTGGACCAGTACTGAGCTTATTAGTAAGTACTAGGTAAATGATATGACTGGTATTATTCCTTGTTCATTCTTGTTTTTAACTTGATTTTTCTTCATTAAAAACTTTCTTAAGGTGAGCTTACTGTAGTTAAGCTAAAGTAACATAACTTGCTTTCAGACATTCTAAACGCAAAACAATCTGTGTAATTTCTTTTTTAAATCCCCTATATGAGACCAAAGATTACTGGTGTGGTGCTGTATGTTAATGCACTGGACTGCAAAGTCAGATTGAACCACAAGGTCAGTGGTTCAAGCTTACTAGTCACTCCTTGGAAGCCCTACACAGGGTCGCTATGAGTCAGAACTGACTCGATAGCACTTAACAACAACAAAATATGAGACAAAACAGTCAACAGTTACCTTAAAACAGAGATGAGGATTTAAGAAGGCAGGGAAACTTGATTAATGGAAATGTAACAGCCAGCAAAGAAATATTAAGAATGTTCATGCATTGTGAGGAATGTAACTACTGTCACGAAATAAAGTATATAGAAATTGCTGCATGGAAACCTCAGTTGCTGTGTAAACCTTCATTGAGAACACAATAAAATATTTAAAAAGAAAAACAAATTATATAGTTTATTAAATTTAATATTAAATATCTGCATGAGTAATATGCTGGTATTAACTCTGTATTCCAGTTGTCTGATGATCCTCCCTTTGATTTTTCAGGAGAATCCTCATTGATACTGGAGAGCCAGCAATTCCAGAATATATCAGCTGTTTAAAGCAGGCTCTGACAGAATTTAACACAGCAATCCAGGAAATCATAGTGACTCACTGGCACCAGGATCATTCTGGAGGCATAACGAATATTTGTAAAAACATCAATAGTGGTAAGTGAACAATATATATTAAGTCCATTGCAAAAGCATAGTGACTATACAACAAGCCCTGGATTGAGAATCACAAGGTTGGCGGTTCACAAGTCTACCAGCCATTCTGCAGGAGAAAGAGGAGGCTTTCTGCTCCCGCAAAAATCTAAGGCTTCAGAAACCAGAACCAACTCAATGGCACTTAACAACAACAATCTCATTAAGGAAAGCTATGTTTTTAAAATAATTTCTTTTGTTTAGAGCGCTAATTAATCTAGTAAGCCCTTTACCAAATACCTTTTATTTATTATTTTTGTTAGTTGCCATCAAGTCATAGAGGCTCAATGTGGACAGACTAAAACTGCTCTGTAGGATTTTTACGGCTTTGACCTTTCTGAAGCAGATCACCAAGTCTGTCTTCCAAGATGCCTCTTGAATGGATTTGCACTGCCAACTTTTCAGCCACACAGACACTCCACCTTATTTTTTGTGTTTATTTTTAAACTTTATTGTGAATTGAGTGAAGATGTACAGAAAAGACCATCAGCTGTACACTCAGCACATCATATACTTTGTTTCATCTTGATGATTATAATCTCCTCCATGCTACAACAGTTATCCCACTTCCTCCCTGTGGTTCCTGTTTGCAGTCCACCCACTTTCCTGTCCCTTCTCATCTTTGTCTTTAGGAAAATGTTGCCCTTTAGATGTTTAATGATTGGCCGTTCCGTGGTGAGCATACCCCTCTATAAATCTATCTACTGCTTGGCTCAGAAACCCATGAGGGTGAGTTCCTTCCCAGACCTGAACGGTACTCGAGGGCCATAGTCTCAGGTTTTTACAGTCTGTTTCTGATCAATAAACCTGATCTTTTTTTCTTTTTTAAAAAAATTAAATAATTTTGAGTTTTGTTCCACATTTTCTCTTACTCTTATCTGGTACCCTGTAATGTGATCCCTTTCAGAGCAGTTGGTAGTAGTATCCGGCACTGTCTAGTTTTTCTGGTCTCAGAGTCATGAGACCTATGTTCATATATTCCATTTGTCCACTGTATTAATTGATTCCAGGCCTCTTCATTTCTTATCTTCTGCACATGGAGAGACCATAGCTGCACCTAAGGTGTCCCCTCTTGTGCTTTCAAGATTGCAGACACTACTCACCCAAGCAGGCTGGAGAAATTATGCCAATTGACCATTCCACTTTATATTTAAGCGGTACTTTTAGAATATAATATGACTGTTAAATGCTGTTCCCACTTACAGGAGGAAGGGAAAACACCTGCTTTTGTTTCAAAACCTCTTGCTTATTCTCCTTTTTTTCAATGATGAAGGCATTTTTAATTTTGTCTGCATTATAAGTACTACTTAAGTACCAGGCACTGTACTGAACACTTTACATGAATTATTTTATGTTATGTACTATTATCATCCACATTTTAACCAAATGGTCTCAGGTCTTCCTAAGATATACTAAAATTCTTACAAAATATTATTGTACCCATAAATTTGTCACCTTGTTCAACTCCTTTGTTAACATGTGGATCAATATAAAAAACAAATTAAAATATTTATAGCCTACATTTTTTTCTTCCTCAATCAATTTTATAGAGTTTTAATTACATAAATAATATAAACCAACTTTAATTGTACAGTTGGTGAGCTTGAACAAATGTAAACACCCCCCAACCACTTTAATTGACATAGAATACTCCTACCATCCTAAAAAGGGGTTCCCTTGTGCCTCCACACCCTGTAGTCACTGATCTGCTTTCTTTTGCCTATCCTATAATTTTTATAATGGAGACATATAGAACCATTCTATGTCCTAGAATTCTATATAATGGAAATATATAGAATCGCTCTTTTTCTGGCTTCTTTTGCTCAACATCATATTTTTGAGATTACTCATACTGCATGTATCAGTAATTTTTTTTTTCTTTTTATTGCCAATTACTGTTTCATTGGCATCCTTGTGTGGTGCTGTAGGATAAGCACTGGACTACTAACTGCAAGATTGGTGGTTCAAATCCACCAGCCACTCCTCAGAAACCCTATACAGGGCCACTGTGAGTCAGAACTTACTCTACGGCACTTAACGACAGCAACAACAACATTTCATTGTATAACTCTCCTAGAATTTGTTCATCCAGTCATCTATTAATGGACATTTGACCCACTTTCTGTAAATTAAAAATTGAAATCGTTTTGGATTCCATAGAAACTACTATTTTTATAAAGTCAATTATCTATTGAATTGTTTTAATAGAAAATCAAGGGGAAAATTGACATTGCTGCTTTACTACTAAAATTGTAATACTTTCTGGTATTGTCTTCCATTCTGAACTTGGGGAGGGTGGTAGGGTTGGAAGTGTCTTTTCTTCTGTAACAGTGCCTGCTCTCCATTCTGAACTTTATAATAAAGTGCAACTAGCTGCATGTAGACATTGAGTTTGTTCATCCTATTGAAACTGTACAGAGGTATTCTTCAGAATCTCTAAATTTTTATTAGTAGAGTTCTTACTCCATGTTACAGTTTTACAATTTTATTTAATTACTGGCATGGCAGAAATTTTTCAACTGTGTGTTGCTAACAACCAGTTTTTGCAAACCACAATAAAAATAGACTGTATCTATCTTCCATACAGATCTTATAAATAGCACTTCCAAGCAGCCTGCTTACAAAACATTATACATAATCAATGTATAATTTGGGAACCCTTAGTGCCTTGTGTGGCATTGTGGGTTAATGCGCCAGACTGCAAAACCATTTGAAGTACAAGGTCGGTGGTTCAAGCTCACCAGCTGCTCCTTGGAAACCCTAAACAGGGTCACTGTGGTTCAAAACCGACTCGACTGCACTTCACAACAACAGTATATATTCGAATATATTTTATTAGAAATTATTGTATATGAACAATATGACATATTTATATCAGTTTAAATAATTAACATTAGCAAAGATGTTACAATTCATTATTCAAACCTTCACAAAAGACTGAGGGTCTGCTTCTGTTAAAATAATTATATGGAACAGACAGGAAATGGATGAGTAATTGCCAGGACCTGGGGGTGGGGGTGGGGGATAGGAAGTGACTCTACCAGTGGGTATGAGGTGTCTTTTATTATATAGTAATGTTGGTTGTACAGTTCTGTGAATATACTAAAAACACTGAATTGTATATGTTAAAAGGTGAATTTTATGGTATGTGAATTATATGTCAATACAGCTATTATTTTAACATTATTATCATAATTCCTGCTCATAGTTACCCTATAGGACAGGGTAGAACTGTCTCACAGGGTTTCCAAGGCAGTAATCTCTACAGAAACAGACTGCTACATCTTTTCCCTGCATTTATATTTTACTATTATTATTATTGTTGTTGTTATTATTATTATTATATCATTGCTTTCAGCATGCCATTCTTCATCCTGCCTAGAAATTGCTGTTAGAATATGCGTGTTCATGTTTGCACATAATTTTAAACACTGACACAATTTTATAGTATTTTTGTTTTGTAATTTTGAGATAATTATGATTTACTTTAAAAGGATTGTTTACAACAGATATCATGATTATAAAAGCATGATGCCTGTACTTATTTGCTGAAATTCAGAATTACTCAATTTAAAAACTAAAAACTTCTATAGTGAATAATTAAAATAATTGTGTAATGTCTGTTCCAGAAGAGCCTATTGTGCTTTGCTCTAGTCTCTAAGATACAAAGTAAGGGAGTTTGGAGTTGAAGAGAGTAGGTTCACTGTGCTGTTGTTTTATTTTATATTTATTTAAATGTTTTTTCATCATTATCCTTCATACTAGGGCTCCTTGTATAAAATAGGAATGGCTAGAAAAACAAAAAAGTTTTTATACAGCTCTGGTGGGACATGAAGGTCCCTAGGTAGTGCAAACAGTTTATACTTCAGTGCTTTACTTAAGGTTGGTAGTTTGAGCCCACACAACAGTACTATAAAAGAAATGGCAATCTGCTTCCATTAAGGTTACAGTCAAGAAAACTTTGTGGAGTAGCTCTACTCTGTGGCATGTGGAGTCACCATGACTTGGAATCATCTAGACGGCAAGTAACAACAGACAGTCATGAGAGAATAAATCTCTTTTGTTGCACTTTAATAATTGCTTTTGTGGTTTATTGTTGTATTCTGTTGAGTCGGTTCCAACTTATAGTCACCCTATATGGGATTTCTAAGAGCTACAGGTGGGTGTGAACTGCTGACCTTGAAGTTAGTAGTCAGTACTTACCCTATAGCACCAGTTACTATCCTAGAAATATGCCACTCTAATTTATTCCATTTTATATTATCTCTTAATGTTTTACAGTATAGTATTGGGTGTGGGTTTTTTTTTTTTGCAGTAATCCCTATATGTTAGCTGTATGAAAACTGATTTCTTAAAAGCCTGAATCATTTAAAGTATGACAATATATTTTACATGTTTTGTGACTAGACACCACATATTGCATTAAAAAACTTCCACGTAACCCTCACAAAGAAGAAATTATAGGAGATGGAGAACAACAATATGTTTATCTGAAACATGGAGATTGTATTGAGACGGAGGGAGCCACTCTAAGGTAAGTAAATATCCTTTAGTTAGGAAATAAGGGGTATATGTGTGAAAATGAGAAAGGAAGATTCATGTATATTTGCTCAATATGTAAAGAATATCTTGGGAAGGATACAAAAGAAATTTGATAACATTGGTTACTTTGGGCACAGAAAATAGGTAGCTTGAAGAAAAAGGAAACGTAAAAACTTAATTTTTGCTTTAAGGCATTCTGATTAAATTAAGTAGGGAATCTGTTTTTAAATTTTGGACTCAAAATACTTGAAAGCAGAGACTCCAAAAGAGACTCGAACATCAGTGTTCACTGCAGCCCTTTCACAATAGCAAAAGATGGAAACAGCCTAAATATCCATCAACTGATGAAGGATTAACAAAATGTGGTACATATATACAATAGAATAGGGTACCACTCAGCCAGTAAGAGAAAGAAAATCTTGATACCGTGCAAATGGACCTGGAAAACATTATGTTGCATGAAATAAGTCCATCACAAGGACAAATGTTATATGATCTCACATATCTATAAAGGCAAGAAAAGGCAAATGTATAGAGACCAAAATTTTTTAGTGGTTATCAAAGGTCACAGGTGAAAAGACTGAGGAGAGTTAACTAACAGATGATGGGAAAATCATATTGAGGATAGGATTATTGTAATTACTATCAATAAATTGTATGAAAAGTTGAACTGGAAAAAAATTGTGTGATAGATTTTATGTAGGGCTGCTAAAATAGAAATATCATAAATGAATGGCTTTAGCAAACAGATTTAGGAGGCTAGTGTCTGAATTCAGGGTGTTAGCTGTAGGGAGACTTTTCTTTTTCTCGCTTGGCTCTGGGGGAAGATCACAGTCTCCTTTCAAAATCTGTAGGCCCGGCATGTCTTAGAGAAATCCATGAGCCTTGCCATCAGGTTTTCCTTGGGTCTAGGAAGTACCCAGTGCAGAGACGCTGGGTCCAAAGGGCACACTCCACTCCCAGCAATTCTTTCTTGGTGATGTAGTGGTGGTGGTGGTGGTGGTGGTGATATGCCATGAGTTGGTTCTGACTCACGACACTGTATAGGGTTTCTGAGGCTGTTGGTCCCTCAAATCCCTGCTTTCTTGTTTAGTTTATTTTATATCACAAAAAGGTTGACTAAAATACAAACTAATCCTGTAGATTAGTTTTAATTAACATAATTTAATTAACATAACTGCCTCTAATGCTGCCTTATTAATATCATTTAAAAATTTTTTTAATTCACTGCCACCAAGTCAATTACAACTCAAGAGTGAACATATATAGGGTTTAAAGACTATATCTTTAGGGAAGCAGATAGCCTCATTGTTCTCCTATAGAGCCGCTGGTAGGTTTAAACTGCCAACCTTTGTGGTTAGCAGCCCAGTGCTTACCCTGCAGTGCCACCAGGACTCCTCAATAACAGCATAGTGGTCACAATTTACAACACAAAGGGTAATTACATCACATGGAGGATAATTACATAATACTAAGAATCATGGCCCAGGCAAATTGAT